AACAGGTCGGGGGTTTTATGCATTACACAATCAATGAAAACCAGCTGATCAAATCTAGCCGAATTGACACCTGTGTGTAAGAGTGATTTTGCAAGACAGGAAGATTACAATATGCCTTTCATCCCTGAAGGATCCCTCCAAGGTTTGTGAAGTATACATGTAAACAAATAACGAAGTGCTTCCACATCTGGAGAGACAGCTGCAGCCAGTTGGGTCAAGGCACACTACAAGAATGTTTACTATAAGCAGAGAAGAATTTTGTCAAAAACCACCAGAGCATATTCCTGCCATTACAAAAGCGCCCTGGCATCTTTTAATGGAAACAGACGGTTATGCAGGAACTCTACAGTTGTTTTTTTAAGTTCTCATCTGAAAAACTCTAGATGCACATGCAGATTAAACTGCACTAAATGCAGTATTTCCACCTTCAGAGGGATGAAAGGTTGGTTCAAGCCTGCCCAGATTCAAACCTGTTGTTCCAAGGTGCTTAGATGCCTAAACCATCCTGCAGGGATGGTGTCTCTAACTGACTAGCTTTCAGCTTAAAAAAAATAGAAATAAAAAATAAAACTGCTGCTGACATCAAAGCTTGTTGATTTGTTTTCTCATCAGAAGTTTAGGTTTAAAGTATTTGCACAAGGTTTGGCCATTATATAAAGGTGAGTTGAAGAAAAATCTGTTTTGTCCAAAATCAAAACACATACGTCCTCCTTCTTTTCCTTTTTCTTCTTCCTGGGGTGAGAGTCAGATTCCTGGGAGGGGGCATTGAGCTCGCTGGAATATTCTCGTATTAAGACTTCAATGGCCCCTTTAATTATCTGATCTCTTCTCTTCGTTTCCTCATCCAGTGCTTCATCATCATCATTTGTCGTCTCTGGTCTGGAGTTCTAAGGAAAAATTGCAAAGTAACAGGAATCAACAAATTGAGACTAATATGAGTTTTATGTCAGAAATTCACCTTTGAGCATCACATTCATGCCCCTAGGACATTTACTAATAAAAACCCCAAAACAAAGAAAGAACCAAAACACCACAAGCCCCAAATCACCTACAAGTAGTTATTGACTGCGTTATTTTAGTCAGATCTTTTCACACTGGCAATATCACAGGGACCACATAGTTTTACATGTGGGATGGCTGGAGAGAGCAAGTGTAGGACTGCATAATAAAACAGACAAATGGTGATTAAGGCAGTAGACAGGAAATGAGAAAGCACACACACGCTATAGAAAGGCAATCACTATAGTCCAGCTCTTGGTCAAAAGTTCCTGCCTTGTATCCTCCAGAACGTCATGTCACTTCAATAGCAGTTCCTCAAACCCTTCTACTTAACTGCCATGCAATACAAATGTCTACCTGCAACTTTCAAGCTGCAACTTATAATGGGAGAATTAATTCAGTAAGGAAACATTGTTATGGAAAACATTCCTTTCACAGCAAACATCTTGTTATTGTTGATCAATTACTTTGTAGTTTACATCTTTTTGCTCCTTTCCACCTCGTAGGGAGGAAAGGGAACACACACAAAGTGCATTTCACTAAATGTTCCATGAAAGGGTAGAGCAATGATCTGCACACTGAGCAAGGTAGCCCACCTCTTGATTCCCTGAATCTTTGAGAAAAATGGAGTCTCACCTGAGAATCCAGCTGGGTATCCCGTCAAGCGATAGGTGGTGGGTGGAGTGAGGGGGAGGGAAGGGTCTGATGGAGCAGCAGCTAAGAATGAGGGGGAAGGGAGGATTCAGTTGGAGCTGAAGAGGCTGCCAGGCCAAGAAGCAGCAGGCTGAAAAGAGCTAGAAGGCAGTGACAGGGAGTGGAACTGAAGAGGTCCAGGGAGAAAAAAGTGATCAGGGAGAGGAGCTAATTAGATGAAGGCTTGCTTGGTTTTCTTCTATAAGAAACTATATTGTAGTATACATGTTTGATCTTTTAATTAAAAAAAATTAAAGAAAAAAGTGGCAAGTTTTGGATCTGAGTGGCACCAGCACATCAATGAAAGGTACAAAAGGAATCGCAAGCAGTATGATTACAAAACGCTGCATCAATATTCCTTGGCAATTCACAGCCTTTCTTTGCACCACCACAAACAAACAAACAAGAACCCCAGAACTGAGGTAACCTCACTCCACAGTTCAATGGAACTGACACATGTGTTGTCTTCAAAGCCAAAACCAGCACCCTCTGCACTATTAGCCTACAGGAGCTCACAGAAAACAAAATTCAACAGGTATGTACAAGAACTCCACTGATATTTAAGCTTGTTTCTGATGTCTGCTGTGAAGCACAGCGTTACAGGTGATGCCACCTGGAAACAAGGAAATATGGAATGGAAGGGGCAGTCAAATGAAACCCTTACCCAGGTTAACAGCGAGTACATTACTCCATCCAAAATCCATGAAGTTAGCACTCTGCTTTACTGAGCCATTGCATTTAATTCCATACGCTTGACTTGGTGTACAGCCAAAAATGTGTCAAGCACTTCAAGGCATCACATCATGCCTCTAGTTCTGGTTAAATAAAATTAAATAAAAGCACTTTTGTTCCCTCTGTATTCTACACACCTCTGAGAGCAATTCCAAATTGGAATTTTAAAAATTTACCTGCTACAGTGTGATTAGTATTTCTAGTTTTCTGAACAAGAGCCTCTTCTCACCTTCATTTTACAGAAAATAATTGTCTTAAGTACTATTTTAAGGCCTCTGCAGAGTCTTAAAATCATTAGAGACCAAGCCAAACAACCTGATTGTGATGTAAAAGACACTATTTTAGCAAATAAAAAAATAAATAAAATTAATTTTAATGCCAATTTGTCAGTTAAGCTTCTTTGTATCTCAAGTATTCAACATATCAAATGTCTGCAATTATTCCTACACAGATCCTTAGCTCTAGAAAGGAATGGCACAAATCAATTTCCCCATCTACTAAATATCAGGCACTGGGCAGCTTACAGACAACTGCACCATCTACTGAATTATCTACTCCTTTCCTTTCCGTTAATTTGTCCTAGAAGATCATCACTCCAGTTCTCCTCAGACAGGCGATTTACAGACTCTGACAAGTCACAATTACTTCTAGAGTTTATACACTTTCAAGATGTTCTAAACAAAAATGAAGCAACGTGAGGTGTAGCACGCATTACTACATTTTAGAAGGAATTACAGAATTAATTCTAGAGATTCAGTTGTGGCTCACAGATATGATTGAATGTTGGTGAATTAAGAGCTTACACTTCACTGCCTTTCAACGTATCTTCAGACTCATTAAAGTGACTCTGGCGAAATCCTAAAATGAGTTAAGGGTAGAGACAAGAATAGAAGCTAAGAGACACTCGCAGTCTGATCCAGCAAGCATGTTACACTGTCCTCCAGCCAAAATAACACAAGTCACGCATTATATACGTACCCCATTTGAAGCCTTTTTCTTTGCTTTCCATTCATCCAGCTGAGCCTTTGTCTTTGCATCAACTTTGACTAGCAGCTTCTTCTCTCCAATCTGGAGGTCATGGAGGAGTCTCAGTGCTCGTAGCGTGGATTCTGGTTCTTTGTACTCACAAAATCCAAAGGCTTAAATGGATTATTGAAATGAAAAGTAAGAGTGTTAAAGCTCTTCAAGTAATTTACTTTGTGTAAAAACAGTGTTTTGAATCAATAAACTTGGAATGCAGGCACATCTTTTTTTAAAAAGAGGAGTACACATCATAAAAAGTCAGAAAGATCATTCACTGCATTAGTCTGATATACAGAACAGCCCAGTGAATAAGGTGAAAGTTATATATACATTGTAGATGCCCTCCCTGTTCCTGGAAACACTGAAGGTCAGGTTGGACTAGGCTCTGAGAAACCTGATCTAGCTGAAGATGTCCCTGCCCATCACTGACGAGGTTGGACTAGGTGACCTTTAAAGGTCCCTTTCAACCCAAACTATTCTATGACTGTGTTTGTAAAGCTTTTGATATGTCTGTCTGAACTAAGGAATGTAGTCTATATGAATCATAGATCTACAGAATGGTTCAGGTTGGAAGGGCCCTTAAAGCTCATCCAGTCCAACCCCTGCCATGGGCAGGGACACCTCCACCAGCCCAGGTTGCCCAAAGCCCCATCCAGCCTGACCTTGAACACTACCAGAGGGGGCATCCACAGCTTCCCTGGGCAACCTGTGCCAGTGTCTCACCACCCTCACAGTAAAGGATTTCTTCCTAATGTCTAAACTAAATCTACTCTCTTTCAGTTTAAAACTGTTCCCTTTTGTCCTCTCACTACACTCCCTGATAAAGACTCCCTCCCCATCTTTCCTGTAGGCTCCCTTTAAGTACTGGAAGGCTGCTATAAGGTCTCCCCAGAGCCCTCTCTACTCCAGGCTGAACAACCTCAAGATGTCTGATTCTCTGAAGACCAAGGACATCAATCAACCCAGAGGAAGGAGTATTTCAAACTAGGCTCTTCACAACACTTACAGAAAGTTGTATATGAGAAAAACACATTGTGAGAGCAAAATCAACTAAGTATGATATATAGGAAAGCTAAGGAACAGAATTACATCTTTAACAATCAATCAACTGAGAGAAGGTATGAAAACACTAACAACAAAAAATGGTAACCAAAACTGTTTCCTGTATCCATTGGAGTAAGGTCACAAGAAAAATTAGTTCAATGTGACAACAGGGAAGGAAGATGATTTTGACATCAGGAAAGCCTCCTTAACAGAGAAGGATAATACACATTAATGTAAGAGACTACTAACAGTGTTGCAAATACGCTCCTTTAGAGGCTAAGCCCAAACTTTCTCAAGGATGGTCTATAAACTCCTGATCCAGTCTCAGAACAGAACGGTGAGCAGAATTAGGCCCCCAGGACATTTTCTCCTTTAATCTTTCTTGTTCTGTCTTGATTCCAAGGACAGCAAATACTAGCCCTTTTCTAGGAAGTATTTACCAGTTAATTATCATATACAGTATCTTAAAGAGTAGAATTACTAAGGCCAGCAATGTGCCACACATTTGAAAAGCTGCTAGGTAACAAAAACAAGAGACTGAGTAGAAAAGTATAAACAATTACCTTGAAGTTTTCCAGATGCCCCTTGTACTCTCTTCCAACTCAAAACCAAGCCACATTTCTGCATTAAAGATAAATGTTATTAATTATTGCTGATGTTCAAAACATTGCAAAAAAAAATGGACCACATTTTGCAAAAGGTAACACGTAAAAAGGGGAAACACTACTTAAAATACAGTATGTCTGTGTTTACTGACATTTACAGCTTAAAAAGAGCTGTACTCTTCACTTACTAGCTTCAAACTCAAGTGCAGTGGACCTCTACTCCAGTGAATGGGACCAACTCTGCTTTTAGCTTCAATCAACTGCTTGTGGGTCATTACTTCATTCATCAGCCAGGGAAGACATTTCACAAGCCACCCACGGTACTTACTGCTAGAAGCTGCCGTATGAGCATATCCGAGGCCTTCTCTGAAATGTTGCCTACAAAAACGGTGGTAGTGGGACCGCTGTTTTCATCATTTTCTTTGTTCTTTAAGCCAGGATGGTCTTTTCTGACTCCCAAGTGTTTTCCAACCATAGACACTGTGGTAGGAACCAATACCTAGAAAGAGGAGGGGAAGATGTAAAATAAAGTGTTGGGTTGTTTGGGTTTTGTTTTGTTTCATTTGTTTGGCTTGTTTGTTTGCGTAGGGGGTTTTGCGTGTTATGTTTGTTTGGTTTTAATTTAAATCCCTAAGACAGAAGAGTTGGGGATGCACATTTATTTCAAAATTAAGTTTTCCTACGAACTTTAGTTAGGCTTATGAAGTGAGACACCAGTAAGTTGTTCAGGCTTTAACACTTCATACAACACAACAAAGACTGCCATTTTCTGACAGACAGAGAAAAAACAGGGTACCTGAACATGAAAGGTCTCAAGGTGAGCACACAGTAATGCCAGGTATGACTTCTTCTACAAATAACTAACTTGCAATATTTGAGTCACTGGAAGTACCTTACCTAACAGTGTTAAATAAAATAAGCTGCTAATAGAAAAGTAACTCTGACTCAAAAGGCTTCAGTGGACACATGAGAGGTCTTAAAGCTTTCACTGAATGAATAAACACTACTGCTTTATTTAATCAATACACAACCCAAAGCCTCTTTGGGTTAAGGAGCAAACATTTGTAAAACAAACCATCCAGAGACAGGCACGATCATCTGTTCCATTTTGCTGCACCTTTTTCCTTCCACCTACGATTTAACAGTGCACAGGCATACAGCCTCTCTTTTCAAAAGACTTTTCTAAAAGCCTCACTTAATAAAGAAATATTTTAATCAGTAAACTGAATGATGCATTTTTTCCAGTATCTTGGTCTTAAATACAATGGATACCAGAAACACATCCTCCTGTAACAGATAATACAAACTATCAAGAAAATTCAGTATTCTGGGGAGATTTCACTTATGCAAAATCACAGAAATGGTAATTCACCTTGAAACCAAAAAGTAATCTTTATATTTTAAAGAGAGGGCTTTTTTCCACCCCGTAAATCATAAATCTTCCTTCCAACTAGAAACCAGTAAGACAAACAAAGGACCTCCCTCTCATATGCTCTTCCATAGATGTGTATTACATGCAACTATTCCTTCTCCTGTTACACTTGTCAGTCAGCTTATCAATGCACATCTTCCTGGCCAGCTCAGCAGTGCTGCGTGATGGCTTTTTTTGCACGAGGTGATGTCTCCAGAGCACTCTGCTAGGTCAACAAACTCAAAAGCAAGGGACCTGGATTCTACCTGATCTAACTGCACTGCACAGGGAGACCATGCATGACTCAAAGGCAAAGTCTAAATAATTGTATTTGAGAGAAGTCAGTCTTCTTGCAAGATCAGTAATTGCTTAACCTTTGCAGCTCGCAGCTTCAGACTTTTCTTCAAACTTTGTTTAGGTCAGAAATTCACATAGTATTTGCATAAAAGTTGCATTTGAAGTGAAGCATTTCATTTCATAGCGTGAATTCTAATGGAAGGGAACTAAACAAAACTACCGTTGACATCTACTGGGTTTTACTCTCCACTTTGTTTTGCTGTCATCTCATCTGCACTGTAATACTTACAGTTGGAGCAGGAGCCATAATGCCCATTGGTACAGGAATCATAGGGGTCCCTGAGAAAGACAAGACATTAATGTTAATCTGCCCTGTTGAGATTACCAATGAATGCAAATGAACTGATCAGAAACAACTTACAAATCAGACAGCCATTTCGGTCAAATAAGAACTCCCCAGTACCCACTACCTTAAGCACAGCACTTTGATTGTCACAAACAAAGCTATTTTCAAAGCACATTCAAACCACAGCGTTCTTCTAGAAGATGTGATGAATGAACCTCAATCCAGAAGCTCCCTACCTGCTGAATATTTGACATGGCAGTTTCTCAAACTTAATTTAAAACAATATTTAATCGGGTGAAACCATGCAATACCCTCTTTCCCATGACCAAATTCACTGGAAGCTTTAAGTACTATCACAAAAGGCAATATCTGATCATAATAAAGGCTGTTTACCTTTCCATGCCAGTTGCTATAAGAGGTTAAAGACATTAAGTGAATGGATTTCAAAACTACTTGCTGGCCTGTAAAGACACTGAGACTCAAAACCAATGAAGTCAATCTCATGTTCTTCAGAGAAATACTCCCTAGGACTCTAGACCTCTTTTTTTCATCCTACAAAAAAACTCTTCCTTTGTCTTTCACTCTCAGTATTTCCCTTTTGATCCTTTCCTTCTTTATTTCTCTTACTGCTGTATTAATAAAATCCTAATCAGATTTCTGCCACCTACTGTTCCTGGACTTGTTCTCTCACTTCCTCCAGCGCTCACTCCTGAAGCAACACTTCTCCTCAGACACCCTCTCCAGTTTTCTCTTCATCCACTCTGGCTTCGCTTTTATTCCATCATTTATTTTCTCCATCACTCAATTCTCTTTCTCAGTTCCTTCATATTAAAGTCATACTACTGCCTATCCCTCCAAATCAGATTTAGATTCAGAGAATCTAAAGCAGTATTGCTCTCCCATGCTCTCAGTTCTGGCATCTCACAGACTAGAGGAGCTACTCCAAGACAAGACTTCGGCTGTGCACTGCTGTAACTATTAGAACTATAATCATCACGATGCTGAACTTGGATTTTAAAGTTACAACTCTGCAAAGATACTTGTGTTATCACTGACCGCCCTCCAAAACCATCAGCCCAATGCTCAGTCAAAAAAATCCACTATAACGCTGGGCATCATCAGCAAACACACTGATGATCGACACCACAGGCATCATTTAGCTGCTATACAAAAAGCTGGTGCACTACACCTTAACTACTGCCTACAGATCTGGTCTCTGCAACCTAAGAAAAACACGTAGCCTTAGAGAAGGGCAACGACATGACTGAAGTGTTGGAGCAGCTGCTTTACTAGGAAAGAAGCTATAGTCCGAGACTCTTCACGTATGGAGGTTTGCAAGGCATGGAACACAACTGACGTGTACAAAACCACAGAACGCAACTGGGGCAGGATGGGGACAATAAGTAGGCAATGAATCTAAAGACAGACATAAGAAAGTAGCAGTTTACACAACTGTTAATGAACTTCTCAAATTCGATGTGGAGGCAACAGCAGAAATGGACAGTACCAGCAGATTAAAACAAAAAATGTTCATAAATGACAGGTCCAGAAAACGACACAGGAAAAATTAAAGCTCATACTCTAACATGACTACCACTACAGTTGTATGAGGGAACACTCAAAGCAGATAGGTGTACGCGCCCACCCTAAATATCTTCTTGTGTTCCCACCACCCAGACAACGCATCAGGCCACATGGACTGCTGGTCTGACTCACTACAGCAATTCTTATATATGAACAATAATTTTTTACTTCTCAGTGGTATCTCAATCTTCAGAATCACCTCATGAAATCTTCCACGCTCAAGAGATGGAAGTGCTAGAACTTATAAAGTCACTGGCATTTTCAACTCCGTTGATACACTTGTGCTAAGAAATGAGATCTCCATATCCTCTACATGTCAAAATATGTTATCTGCATGGGTAAGCACATCAGTGTACAGAGAAAAATGTAATTCCTGTCTAACACTGCTCTTCTCCACTTTACACACTCTTTGGATCACTACCACTGAAACAAGACTATTCATATATGAAGTCAAACACAGCATGAGAACAAAAAGATCTTCGCTGCACATGTTAAGAAGCAAGTGTTCAGAGCAAAAACTCGTATCAAGCATTTTAAAATATTCTTCAGAAGGTTATTTTTTAAAGTGTCTACTCTTTTTCATGCTAGCACATATAAACCTAAGCTAGGAAAGGTAAGAGGTACAATTATAAAATTTAGCCTGAAATTTTTGATGGCAGAATGCTACCTACTGAAGAACTCTGCCTTCAGCAGAAAACACGTAACATCCCATGGATCTCAGGAAAAAAAAAGCTGGAAAAATTAATGGAAGTAAGAATTAGTCTGATGAACAGATGTGCACAAACCATTCCTGAGTTCAGCCAACTCATTTTTGAATGTCTTTATTGTCTACAAAACACTTGTGCACTACACAGCTTAAGACCATACAGTCAGGAGCTATTTTCTGCAGCCCTTGTGATGAATTTTAAAGGAGAAATTCTCTGAAGTATTCCTCTTTCCCACTCACTCTCTGGTCTCCTGCCTCCAGTCACCGTTATCCATACTGGCAACGTACAGTCAGCAGGTGGTTCCAGACCAACGAATTAGAAATCTCAACACCAAAACCAGAGGCTGATCTTACAGATGAACAACAACCAAAAAAAAGGTGGAATTCATTTGTGGAAGTTTAGGAGGAATGAGGAACAGAACACTACGTGTGCAAGATGTGTGAAGAGAAGTATGGAAGAAGCAGAATAAAGAAAGTGGGATTTAAAGAGGAAAACACCACCACAGGAAGTCAGACCTGAAAGTTCATATTATCTTTTCACACCACACACATCAGTACACCCAAGAGTTTCCAGAGCCTATTAAAATGGCTTACTTGAAAGGAACTGAAAAATCAGTCTGCTGTCAAACCAGTGGCTCTTAAGAATACCTACTGTTAACAAAAACCACCACCCAGCTTCAGTCTTGGCAAAAAGATCCAAGACAAAGTCCAGTATTGTCTCTAATGGTTTGATTCCTGGTCAGAAGTAAGTAGCTTTCAGTAGAGCAAAAGGAGCTTGTTCACATGACATGATCTGCTGGTAAACTGGAAACTCAACTGCAATGTACACGAATCAGTCACTGAAATACCTTAAGAGCCAGTAACTTCTGTAAGTAATACAACTCAGAATAAGTAATTTATTTCTACAACACTTCCATATATTAACATAACTTACCAGGAGGTACAGGTGGAGGAAAGCCAGGAAACTGTGGAGGTGGGATGCCAGGAGGAAGCGTTGGGATTCCCATAGGAGGGCGGTTCAAATGAGGTGGAAAAGACATTCTTCCAGCCACAATCTGTCAGAAAGACAGAAAATTAAACTATCTATACTGGTCAGTTCCCAAACATGAATTGCAAAAGCAGTGCAAATGATAAGTGTTCACAATGATTTTAAACCTTTATATGGACAGGCAACTAAAAACTAAGATTATTTTTAACTTTTTCCCCTGCTACTAAGTTATGAATGTAGTAGAAGCTTGCTTTCATAATGAAAAACAGCCCTTCTAGGAAGGTTTTGTAGTCTTGTTTATCACTTCATTCTATCAGACTCCTCATACCAATGATTTACAAGGAACATGAATTAAACAGCATTTAACAGTTTGTACAGTTTCTTTAAAATAAAGCTATCTTTTGCAGTATCTGAAAACAGAAGTAAGCTCGCAATGCATTTTCAAGAAGGCAAGTATTTCTCTCGTACAAGGAAAGATCACAGGCAATACAACTGTGGAACAAGATGAAAGAAAGAACTGCAACATCCCAATGCTCAGTATTGACACGAACTGTATCTAATATGACACTGGGGAGATCCCCAAATTCCAACACAAACAGTTAAAAGCTTGGAAGAGGCTTCTCTGATCTATTTTTAACTTCCCACTTCACACATCTTCTAGAGCTCAGCTTGGACTATAGCCCATGAGCAGAGAGTCAATACACGACCATGGAGAGCAAGGATTGTTTGAACATCACTTGCTGTTCAGATGGTTATTATCATGTGCATATTACTAACCCTATAACAGATACCATCCAATACTACAAAAACCTCAAGATCACTCTTACACAACTAACAACACATGCATTCCTTCTTCCAATATTATCTCAGCAACCTTAACCTTATCTTCAGTAAATTAACCGCAAACTGGTCACCAGCATTACTGCTGAGCCCATAAGTACATTCTCACTGCAGTGAGGAAGCTCTAGAGGAGCTTCAAACGTTGGATTGTGTGGATATGAAACACAAAGACACCGCATCACAAGTGTCAAGGGTCCAGTTAGCTGTCTGCACAAACATCTGCGTTTCTCAATGGACTGCTTTACAACCTACACCATCGTATCTTCACGGCAACTGTTTTCCAAACAGGCAACCATGAGAAAAAGGTAGGATAACCAAAATCCTGACATGTACAACAGACCTGTATAAGATGCTTTCCCCAGCACTGAACACACAAGACACTGGCAACGAGATAGATGTGCCTCCCATACACGTACAAGTAGTTAAGGACAGTCTTAAATACTAGAAGAGTCAGTATCAGTACTCTACCATAACAGTAGGTACATTTGAAAGAGCTAAAAACTGAGAGAGAAATGTAGACAGTGAACTAGAAAGGATGAAAGGGAAACCCAAACATCAGAATTCTGGTATAACATATATGACCTCATAGCATAGTTCACTCAAAGATACGTTTACGACTACATCAATTACAAGAGGTTCGTGATGATGGCAGTCATTAATTGGCCCCCAAGGGCACTGAACAACATCTCACCAGAAGAAAAGATAAATGCTCCTGTGACACAAAGTCTAAGATGGTAGAAGAAACGAGAGCAAATCAAGTGCTCCTCTAACAGTTCAAGAAAGATTATTTTATACAATATAATAAACATAAGCCTGTTTTTCCTCTTTAGAAACTCTATGCCTAAGAACACGCTTCTTTTCTGTCATTCTTGACTTTTTAAAACTGAATGGGCAAAGAAAAGCAGCAAAATCACATCTGTGTGTGCCATCACATCTGAGAGAACACTGGTTTTGTCTCTTTTGACTACATGCACATCAGCTGCCATTCCTCTAGAATCTGAAACTAGGATGGTATGGAAAGGAACAGAGCTTCCTTATCCACCTTGGTATCGCTATTTGAAACCCTTCCACCAAATAAACACATCCAACTGTCCCAGGAAAGGCTGAAAATTAGTATCTTTAAGGCTCTCAGTCTTTACCTATATTGCAAGCTGACAGACAACTGCACAAAAATCCACACTGTTTTGGGACAGGATGGTAGAGCAGTAAGTTACTGGGTCCAAGATGGTTTTAAACAGGCTATAACAGCGTTACACCATCTGAGGTCTACAAGACATTAAGGAGCAGTCTGTTAAAGTAAAAAAAACAATTGGGGAAGTAATTTTGCAGGCTGCCTGTAGGTGCAGTCCCTTCTCTCGCTCTGATAAGCGCTTTATCCAAGACACCATGTTGGAGAAGCAACAAAAAAATAAAAGCCTAGGGACCAAGAGATAAAATAGTTCCTTGCATTAAAAGATGCTGAAACGTACCGTAGTCAGCAGATGCTAAGTATACACACAGGCAAATCTGTTCAGGTTTGGTTTTTTAATTTAAATTTAAAAAGCAAATATTTAGCAGACAACAAAGCAACTGTTACTGCACACAAGGAACAAGGCAGATAGTAAGAAGAGATCAATTTAGTCAGATGATGTGAAACACTGTTACTTGAAAGGCTCAAACACTCTATTTTACTTCCAGCACTCCATTCTTTTTTCCATATTTGTACAGTTATTTTCACAGCAGCTAGAAAGCTGCCTTGTTACCGACTTCATTCTTGCATGGACCAATCCTAGCACCTCTGCGGTCTGTGGCACTGAAGATCAACACTAGGATTAAAGAAAGCCTTGGTCTCTCCCTCACTACATGTAACTACCAACGTGAAGCTGGCAGAGAGAACAGTGTCATTCCATTTCCTTTATAAAAACTGTGAGAACCGACAGATAGCAAGACTGAAACTGCTCACTGGAGAAGTGAGAGATCTGGACAAGACTGAAAGATGGACCCTGTTCCTTGCAGCAGCCAAGATGCTACAATTTAGGGAACCGAGTAGCACATTTTTTTCTGTCAGCAGCTAGAGAACACACAAGAAATGTACCTACTCATCCAGCAGTCAGAGGGGTCTCTAACATCAAAGTGATAAGCAACTACAAACTAGGGTTAGGTATGGAAAGAGAAGCAATGCTAAGCTAGATCTAAGTAGAATACAACTGTAGAAATCTCAGGAACAGTATCTTGAACTCCTCTGAAGACTGTCCTACTACCATGCCAGTGCAACTCAGTCATCAGTGTCTGATATATTTACTGTGGTCTCGTATCCTATATGTTGACCTTCAAATTCCCCAATATATTCAGATGTGTAAGTAACTTAACAGCCCTGAGACATTTTTAAAACCCCAGTTGACTTAAAGTATTACCTCAAGTGAAACTGGATGTAAGCAGCACTCTTGACAGCTGCATTTTAATTAGCAGCTCTTTAAGTGAGAGATTAATTTGTGTGAATGCTACAATGGTCACAAAGATATAGGGGTAAGAAAAGCAGTGAGCATCTGGCCTGACACCATTCTAAACACTGAAATCATTACATCCTCAGCCCTCAAAACAATGGATTTGTGCCAGTCTCTTGAGTCAAAGTGTGGTCCATTTAGGCTATGTCTGCGCCACCAAGCAGGGCGGTAAACAGGAGCCACTCTGCTCTGTTAAATAAAACAGAGTAGAGGCCCTAATGTCCACACTACACATTTTGGGGAGGTCCACCCCCCAGAACGGAATATCCATTTATGGGTAAGAGTGCATTCTTCAGTATATTTTCATCCAGAAGGAATCCAGTTCATCAACTGGAATAATGCAAACCAATGTGAAAAAAAAAGGTTTCCCAAGTGGGGATGAGTGCAAGACTTCCTTCAAAACCACGCTCCTGACCCAAGTTAACATAATAATGTAGGTGCATGCTTTATTAGCCTTAAGCAATTTTTATAAACTCCAGATTAATTATGTCGCGGATGGCAAAACATCTAAGCTTACTCTAAGCAGATCCAGCTCAAATCCAGACTGAGCTTACACAAACACAGGTTTAATATTACAGGTTTAACTTTGGCCTAGGAGTTCAGCTGCTTTCAGGCACAGCTCTTCTGAGTTAATAAATCCAAACGCCATGCAGAGCCAGCTGCACCAACCTTCCGAAACTTGGGAGAGAGCACAGGGATACCCATGTGGCTCTAAGGTCTGACAAAATCCACTGAGCCTCATTAACGCTGACTCGGTGCTGTCCCTGCTGGGCCAGGCCATATGAAGCCTGTTAGCTTTGACACAGCTAAACAAGCACACAGGGCACACGCTGAGATCAAGCATCTGAGACCACACAGGACTCAGAATTACTATGAAACAAGGATCACTGGCATTCAGACACTGCTCTATGAACTTTTTTTATTTATTTATTCTATTTAAAAAAAAAAGGGTGAAGAGATATGTCATAAACAGAATATAAGTTTAATAACAATCGCTGGTAACTAATGTATTTTAAGCTGGCAATTATATCACCTACTCAGGGCAGCATCATAATTCTTCAAGTGTCTTAGCATTTCTGTGTTTACACATCATAACTTATTTCAAAACTTGCAAATTAATTATGTTTCCCTGAAAACAGAAAAGTTTTCACACATAAAAATGTTTTTAATGCTTTTTAAGAATGTCCTGGTTTGCGCTAAACAGAACTAATTTTCTATTTAGTGATTTTACTTTTCAGCTCAGTCTCTTTTAAGTGGCTGAACTTGCTGAAAAACAGCAGCATGTTCTTTCCAGACAGTGTGAACTGATAAGCTCAAGGCCAAGTTGTCTCACCATGGGTGCTGTGTCTGCGCCTACGGGGAAGGAAGCAGACCCCAAACTGCCCAAGGAGGTATTGCATCCCACACACGTCATACTCAGTATAAAGCTGAGGGATCATGAGGTTCTCAACCCTTCTTCCATCTTGGAGCCCTTCCAGCTCGGACCCTTCCATCCGTCTCGACCCCTGCAGTGGCTGAGGTCCCAGCAGACCCTGCTGGTTCATCTGCCTCCGATCCTGATTTGTGTGTCCTGCATCAGCTCCCACTGCTGCTGAGTTTGGTCTGGGACTTTTCCAGTGCCCTGCTCTGCAGAGCCTCTGGTGACGTATTCACCATTGGGGGGAAGATTTTATATAGGTTTTGTATATATATATTTGTACATATCTGTATATATTTCATTATTTTCCTATTTACATT